GGCCTGGCAGAAAAAGGAAGCTTTTGGAGCGGGGCGCTTGCAATGAATGGTCCAAGCACACCCAGATCTGGCACCCGCCTGTTTCCCCCATGTCGCCTTCTCGGATGGGGTCACCCTCTCGGATGGGGTCGCCCTAAGGGCTGGGGGGGCTCTGAAGACGAGGACTTGGATGACTTGCCTGGAGAGGCTCTCAGTTATGGTCTGTCCCTTTTTGTCTGTCATCTTCCCTCTTTCCAAGCAGTAGGAAGCCCAGCAAAGGAAAAATAAAACAAACTAAATCTCTCTGCGTCGGTCCCTCTGCCTGCCCGCCTGCCCGCCTTCTTCATCTTCATCTGATCTGTCTTAACTTTTCGGTTCCATAGTGGCTTATGGAGAGGCGGCTCTTCCCAGCCTCTTGCCGGTTCCTTGATCTGCAGTTGGAACATTTACCAGATCCGATGGACCTTATGTAGACTGAGCTTATGCGCCAGGAAGGGAAAGATCTTCCTCTCCTTCTCTGAAACTGCTGTCCTTCTCCTCTTTCAACGTGCATTAATGATTCTTTCTGTGCCTGCAAGGTAGGACTGGCTTTTAACTCTCTGAGTGTTGAGTCTGCAGAGAAGTTTCTCTCAGGAGGCCTCATAGGAAGCTGACCGAAGTTGAGTTTCAAGAGGGGGGAGGCTGGCCGTTTTTGTTTTCACCTGTAACTTTCCAAGAGCTTTTCTCTTCATGCAGTTTTGTGTCACCTCACTTCTCTTCCCTGAGGTGTTTGCATTTTAGCAATGGAGAATTTCTCTCTTGTTCAGGCTGAAGGAGAGGTAGCTGCTCTTAATCGCCGGATCCAGCTGGTGGAAGAAGAGTTGGATCGTGCCCAAGAGCGCCTGGCCACAGCTCTGCAGAAGCTGGAGGAGGCAGAGAAAGCAGCTGACGAGAGTGAGAGGTAACAGAGTGCTGGTCTGGGCTGCATGGATGGGGAAGTGCTTAGTTTCACCTTTGGCAGCAGCTCTTCCAGCCACCAGCGCAGCTAGCTGTTTGTCAGTCACCAATGAAAAAGTCTTGGTCCTCATTCTGACTCCTTTAGATGACCAGTGGGGATCAGCAGTGCTTTATTTCAGTGAAGGATCATTTATTTAAAGTTCATATAATCAAATGAGGATATATTGCCCGGGTGTGCCCCTAGCCACCCTGACTATAAATATTCTGTAAAAATAAGGAACAAAGGATACTGCGGCAAACAGTGTAAGCTTAGATGTGCCTTGACATGCTCAGGACAAGGTCAGTATTTGATGCTGGGCTTCAAGGCAAAAGGCCAGAACTTCAGAGTCAAGGGGGGCTCCGAGCAACTCTCCAGTTTAGCTCTGATTGCATCTCTGATCCCAGTACCAGCCTTGTAAAGTTGCAGGGCACCCACTATTTTTTATAACTTTTTCTCCCCTGATTTAGAGTTAGATTACATGGATGCAGACAGACAGCTGCTAAGTTCTATCCCTGGCCCTGTTAGCCTGTTTTGCTTTTTCTTACTATGAGGCGGAAACTAGAGATTGACCATCCATGACCTGAAATTTGTATGTGGCTCCCAAATGCTCTGTACTGCTACAATATAGTGACAAAATGCTAGTAATCAGCAGTGTGATTTCCCCCCAACATTTAAGTATTAGAATGTCTTTCTCCCCAAAGTCTGGAAAAGCATAGAGGATAAATCTTGAGAATGCCAATCATGCCTTTCAAAGCTACGAGAAGAATGTGTACCATGAAAAGTTGGTCTACTTTGGCTTTAAATAGATCACTTAAACTTTTTTTTAAAACTAAGTCGAGAGGGTAATGTGTTCCTAAAAAGTTCAGAGGAATCCAAAGTGGCCCAATAAAAGTGACCTTTAAAAATAAGACAGCTTAATGAAACGAGCAAAGAATTACTTCCTTGTAAAAGGAAATCAGAGCTAGAGACATTTGTATACTAAGCTAACTTAATCCGGTACACTATCAGCTTTGCTCCTGGTTTAGCAAATCTGTATTGTTAGTCTTAAAGAGAGTCAGCTAAATTATCTTTTAAAAAAAAGCCATGACAAGTCCTGACAAGAGAGCTGAGGAATGAACAAGAACAAAGGTTTTATGTGGCTTGGTGTGGCTTGCTTTGGTGGTTGCTCCCAGTGCTTTCAAATTTTCATGGGAAATGTAAGAGGGCAGAGGAAGTTTTGCACATATTTGGTGGTACTGTACCTTGTTTAAGAATTTTTCAGGGAAAGTTTTCACAGTGTTAGGAAGTTGCAGGAGATTAACTACTGTTGTCTTCTAATATACTGTTTCTCAACCTCAGCGACTTTAAGAAGGGTGGACTTCAACTCCCAGAATTCTCCTGCCAGCAGGAGTTAAAGTCCACGCATCGAAATGTTGCTGAGGTTGTGAAACATTGCTCTAATAATACAGCTAAAAGAATTATTAACAAAGTAAGGGAAGCCCAGCTTTTTGCATTCTGTTTGTTCTGGGTTGCATCTGTTGAAGCACGGTGCGGGCTGTATACGTTCTGCTCTGGGTCATGTAATGGAGGGGGGTGCTTACCACACAGCAAGTGTCAGCATCCCAAACCTCTGATCCCCTTGCCTTTCTCATAGGGATGCACTGGGGAAAGTTTTTTGAGGATTTTTTTTTTCAGAACCCAGCCTGACCTAGCCAGTTTTCAAACTCAATCTTCCTTTTGCTGGCTTCTCCCCCCAACCCCAGATTTAGTCCTGTCCTGCTCCATTTTCAGAGAGTTCTGCCAGAAAGACAGATGGATGACTCCTGACCCCTTTTATGCAGTTTCCTTTTCAATTCCTTTCATTCTGCTGTTGGAAAGATTAAAAAAAACCAGATGACTAGAGATTATATGGTAATGGTGACTATATATTAACAGCCGCTACAATTTTGATAATCACATTTTGTGGAGCAAATATTTTACTATCAGTTGATTAATAAAAAAAAGTATGAAATATAATTCTAATATTAGTAGCTATAACTTGTTTTGTGCTTAAAAAATGAAACTGAGAAAAAAAATCTAAGCTCTGTTTAGAGATTATTGGAATATGTATTGATCTGGTATAGCTTTCCCTGATGTGGCTGCTGTCCTGATAAGTGAACCTCAACGCCTAGAATTTAAAGGAAACATTTGATTTATACATAGGCTGATTTATACGTAGGGATAAAAAGTATTGTATACATTTTATAAAAAACACAAATGAGCACAGTAGTAGATTTTAGAAGCATTATGCACATGAGCGCTTATTTAAGCAGAAAAATGTAAGAAATACCAACAGCATATCATAATAAAGCATAGAGGGAGGTAGAGATGCAGGAAGCCATCACTATAAGGTTTGGAGCATGGGCAGACTAGCCAGGACTAGTTCCATTATATACACATAATTATGAAATATTTATAATATCTCCAGGGGAGATGGGCGGCATACAAATTAAATAAATAAATAAATAAATAAATAAATAAATATGCTTTGCACAGCATTTTTCCACTTGTTGAACAGAAAGTTGCTATCCATGCAGGACTGTGCTGCCTCATTGGTCTTAATGGATGTCCCAAATGTGGGTCCTGCCACACAACATCTGTAGAGAAGCACACTTTTCCAGAGGGTTTACAATATACTTTTGGGTCCTTCCTCAGAGGTATGAAGGTAATTGAAAACAGGGCTATGAAGGATGAGGAGAAAATGGAGATTCAAGAGATGCAGCTGAAGGAAGCCAAGCACATTGCTGAAGAAGCTGACCGCAAATATGAGGAGGTGAGGCAGCGATACTGGGAGGGAGGCTCTGCATCTGGGAACAAGGGTGGCTGGGCATGGCGTATGTTCCTGGGCATCTAGCATGCTGCAGGGCATTCTGACAGTCTGAACACCTTTGAAGGCTGGCAAGCACAGTTGCCCTTAAGAATCGAGGAAAAGGCTGTAAACTCAAAATGACAGTTGTCACTCCATGTCTTCCAGCCTGTTTTGGTGGAATCACAGCCCAGAGGTGAAGCTCCTGTTTTTCCTGCAGAAGGCCTTGGGTTCAGTTCCTCCAGTTTAAAACTGCCTCTGGCAGCATGTCTGGGAAATCCTTGCTCTGGTTGAAAGATCTGGAGCAACAGATAAAAGTTGGCTAGACGGGGTCACAAAGTGGGCACGGATTAAGTATTGGTATTGGTATTAAGTAGTTTCTCAAGATCTTGAGCTGTTGTTTCAAAGGTAGTTATAATTAACAAGGTGATAATTAACAAGGTGAGTTTCAACTGATGCCCCTAATTTTCATTTTATTTTGAGTAAATTCCTGTCCTTGTGAGCTCTGTGATTCACATGCTCTCTTCGGGATGGGTTCCAGTCTATGTTGCAAATTCAGAACTCAACATTTCAGTTTAAGCAGAAGAACAGCCCTAATACATCAGGCCCGAGCATTCTTTGTCACACAGTAACCAACCAGGATCATTGAGGAAGTTCAAGAACAGGATATAAGGATGATCAGCCTTTCACCCCTGCAGTTTGACTCTATGGTATTCGGGGGAAATGCCAGTTTCATTTAAATACCTGTTTGCTATTTTTGGAGTACAAAGGAGTGCAGATGTTGACCCTAATAGATGCTTTATGTCAGAACTATATTCTGTGGTGCATACATTGATGATTTTATGGTCTTTCTTCAGGTTGCCCGTAAACTTGTCATTCTGGAGGGGGAACTGGAAAGAGCTGAAGAACGAGCTGAGGTGTCTGAACTGTGAGTTGATCATTGCTTGTCAGAAATCTGATTAAATCAAGGAACTCATTAGTTACCTGCAGAGTAACTTCTAAAAGTGCTTGAGGGCATCCAGAATCACCTTTCCCAACCTGGGTTCTCTAGGTACCCTGCACTTGCTGTAGTTTCTGGACCACTCTTAAAGGCGAACCCCGTATAGAGCACTGCAGCTAATAATTAATGCTGTTGGACACAGGCTGATTGTGCCTCTCAGCCGACCATATAGAGTTTGAACTCTATTCAGAACATGTAAGTTACTCAATTGCCAGACCTGAGAGTTGTCTCCCTGTAGGACTATAGGTTTACTTGGTCGTTCTTCAGCTTGTTTGCTCTCATCTAGTCAACTATGGAGCCCAAGGGCTGGTCTTGGATGTATGTGGCCACAGCTGAGACTCTTGAGTTGTATGTTGTCAGCATCTGTCTCTCTCTGCACCTATCACTCACCCCATTCCTGAAGGACTCTGGCAGCATACAGCAAGGAAAAAATCATAATCATGCACAATCATAATCCCCCGAATTAATTATAGAAAGTGAACACCCCCATACAAGACCAGTAGGAGCTAAAGGATTCCTGAAACAATACAGCCTTGACTTCCTTAAGGAGTACTCACAAGATGAGGACTGCACATATTTTGGGGGTGAGAGACTTCTGTAAAGTAGGGGCTGCCACAGAGAAGGCTGTCATCTAGCCCATACCTCCACCCTATGAAGTTCATGAGAGGAGAGGAACTTTCAACAGGCCCACTGTCAATGACCAGATGGGCAGATTATGTTCCAGTGCCTCCTGGCTTCAAATCCCCTAATAATGGTACCAGCTGCTTTATATAGGTATATTAAGACTTACAGTACCCTACGCCTAATTATTAAATGATCAAGACACCAAACATAGTTCCCCCAGTACTGGGCTCTGAAATTGACTCTGCTTTTAGAGCAGACCACTGTCACATAATGTCTCTCACTCCAGCCTTAAAGGCCCAATCCAGGAGGTCCTCAATTTTCATGATCTCAAAGATTGCTGAGAGATCTCCCTCTTCCATTCTCCCAGTAGCAGTCACCTACCAGGATGACCAGGGCTGATTCCATTCCCAAATCATTCTAATCCAGAATAGGTTCAGGTAATCCCTAACCTCTAAGAGTATGTCTTCTTTTAATGCACACTGAAATCTCATATTTTCACTCAGGACCTTTGGGGTGGCTGTTACATGGGAATGATTTTTAATTTTCCCCACACCCCATCTCTTGAAAACGTTTTATGTTTTCATTATGTTTTGAGATGTTTACATATAAGAATGCTGGATGCAAATGAACTACAAAATAAGTGAAGCAATAGACCTATAAAGAGGTTCCCAAAGCTGGGGAAAGCAAAGGCTTCTGATGGCAATGATATTTTCATTTAAATAATAGAAGAGGAAGAGCTGACTGTGGTGGTTTCTCTTGCTTTGTGTAGGAAGTGCAGTGACCTGGAAGAAGAACTCAAGAATGTCACTAACAACCTGAAGTCCCTTGAGGCTCAGTCAGAGAAGGTTGGTGGTTCCTAACCTTTTGAGGATTAGGAATTGGCTTTCAGATTTTTTTAAAAAGATGCAAGAATAGGTGGGATGGATAGACCTCTGGATCTTATAATGAACCACCAAGGTGATTTCCTTTCCCCTGTATTCAGCTTTAGTAGCCTGGAGCTTTATCCTCTCTGCTGAGACCTATTAAGAAGAGGATGACCAGTAGCAAGGTGGATGGACTCAGTTACAGTGGTGATGGGTGCACCACTGGAAGACTTGAAGAGCCAGGTTAGGGATAGATCATCATGGAGAAGAACTAGCTATGTGGTCACTAAAAGTTAACACCAGCTTGATGGCACATAACCAGTTGATCAGTCTCTAGTGGGGCCTCAACTTTTTGAGGGGAGATACTAGTAGATGAATAAAAATATAAAAAATAGTAAATAATATCTACTGGTTGTTTGCCTATTGTAAAATACATCAACAGGCCATTCATTTGATGCTGTTTCCTCCTCATCACTTCAGGGTAATAAAGCAGCAGGGAGAAACATTTTCCTTGCCCATGCAGCTGACATCATTAGTACAATTTCACGCAAGGCTGTTTTGATCTTTGCTTTGAAACCAAACAATCAATGCCTGGAAAATATCATTTGGAGGATGAGTTGGCAGGTTTTCTGTGCAAGGAGGTTTAGTGAAAGCCAATATACAGAGGTTGAATGTTGAACCAGGTTCAAATCTAGGGTCAGCCATGGAAGGTCACCGAATCACTGTCACTTGCCCCAGTGAACCGGTGGAATGGAAATACAGTTAGAGAAGAGAGTGCTATATATATATATATATTATTAGCTGCTTTCAGAGTTGGATAGCATCTTAAAGCCAGGGGAATGCACTTAGAAAAAAATCTCAGCCACTGAGGTTATGTCAGTCTTGTCCTTGGAAATAGCAAGGCTGTTTTATGGGAGATTGATTGATTGATTGATTGATTGATTATGTGCCATGAAGTCAGTGTTTACTTTTAGTGATGAGATAGATAGATGTTCTCCAGGGTGTCTTCCAACAGTACACTCTTTGCCACTATAATTGCATCCATCCATCTTGCTGCTGGTTGTTCTCTTTCCTTCTACCTTTCCCAACATTATTCTCCAGAAAGCTAAGTCTTTGCATAAGGCGTCCAAAGTAGGATTATTTGAATCTGGTCATTTGTGCCTTGAGTGAGAACTCTGGGATATTATGGGACATTAGGTACATTTAAAAACTTTTGTTTGTTTTTAGTAATGGTTTAATGCATCTATTTTGCTTCTTTAAGTGAAACAGGAAAATAATGTTGCTGAAATTTAGTGGTGCAATATGGGTGGTGCAAGGGGCTCAGTAAAAGTTGGGTTGGAGACAGTGTGTGTCCCTGGGCTTTGCATTGACCACTCTATCTCAGAAGAAGTCCAGTATATAAATGAGAAATGAGATGGTTTCAGTTGCTATTTTTTCTGCAATCTCCCCCCTCCCTCCTCTTACAAAAGAATGATTAATGTTGACCTTGTTTTCACAGTACTCTGAAAAAGAGGACAAGTATGAAGAGGAAATCAAACTTCTGACTGACAAGCTTAAGGAGGTGAGTGAGGCCAGTGATCATATTGGGTTGGAGATGGAAGGAGGAAAATTGATGTTTGATCAGTAGTACAACCTTTTCATTGCTTTAATGTCTGTTCTTAGGCTGAAACACGAGCTGAGTTTGCAGAAAGAACAGTCGCTAAACTGGAAAAGACCATTGATGATTTGGAAGGTATGGGATAAAGCTTTTGAAGTTTGGGATAGAAAGCTCTTACAGGGCACTGTTTGCATTATTGCATTTTGGAAAAATGGCTTCTAGAAGACTTTTTCCTATCCTAGAGAGCCTAATGACAATCTCATTCAAGGTCTCAGTGTAATTTAACACAGTACCTGAGGATAAGAATAACTAAGATTTAGTTAAATCTCCACATTTCTCACCCTTGTCATGAATTTGATTGGTTGGTCTTTAGGTGAACAAAGCCCTTTCTTTGCAATTTGCGTAGAATTATTGTAATAATGTAATTGAAGATCTAAGAGCTCATGGTGGCATATATAGTACTGAATAGGGGAGTGCAAAATGTTTTGAATTAAAACTGTTTTGAATGCAAATTGCCCTGTTCCAAGGCCAAAATAGCTGTCCCAAGTCTAAAATATCCTAATTTGATCATTTGGAAATGTTTTATGTTGAAACAACCCTTTGGGGCATAAAACATTTCCAGAGAGATTATGGCAGATCAGTGTAAGCAGTTCAAATTCAGAATGTTTTTCACATTCTTAATATTGAACATTCAATCTTTGAACCTTCTGAACCTTCTGTTGCTGAAATCTTTCAAAGCTTATCTTGCATTTCTGTGTGAAGTATCTGTAGTGCTTCGTTTCTGTGTTTAATATTTCTTTCTTTCCCTTTCTCCATCTCTTCCGCCTTTCCTTGCTCTGTGGCAACACCACCTCTGAACTTGCCTATGCTCCTGTTACTTCGGCATTTCATCCTGCCTTTCTTGCCATCCTTTGCCCTGCAGATGAGCTGTATGCTCAAAAGTTGAAGTACAAAGCCATCAGTGAGGAATTGGACCACGCGCTCAATGATATGACTTCCTTGTAGATAAATACAGTGGGGCTTTCTGTCCTGCTAGATATTCCTACTAAGAATCTTTTACTTTCTTTGCCTCTGTGCGTTTTCACAAGTCTTTTTCTGTAAAAATGGGCTTCAATTAAAAAATATATATATCTGGAATGTTCTCTCATTTGCTTTCTTTTTCTGTTTCTAAAGTATAAGGCATCTGTTCCTTGTTTGCTGTATAAAATGATAGTCTGTTTAAGTTAAGCTTGATCACTAATTCAGCAGAACAGTACAGAGTTGGAGATTATTTATGTAACTTTCTCCTAAGAATATTCATTTTCCATTTGGATCTTATATCACTCCAATCAATGAGGTCAGGCGATTTCTGGGGATAGATCTTATACTTTTTCAGATATAAGATCTATCCCCAACTAACTCCTACACTGAGCAGTAGGTTGGGCTTAGATGACCTTTGAGCCCCTTGCAACTCTATGACTCTTGCTGAACTCTTAAATCTTTCACTAATCCAGTTCCTTTAATAAAGGGTTGTGAAACCTTTGCTCCTCCAGATGTTGCTGAGCCAGACATCCTGGGTGTTTCTTAGTTGAATTTCATGATCCCAGAACAGGTTTCTCTCCTTCATCTGGGATTTTAGATGAATGTATTAGGCATAAGAATAGCATAAATTTGAGGGAAAGTGTAATTGGAGGAGTACAGCTATGTTTTTAAACAGATGCAACTAAAATTGGTCAGATTAGAACCAGTCCTGTTCTTTGAAATTGTTTTTCTTACTATCTTTCCCATTCTCACCAGAAAAACTTGCCCAAGCGAAAGAAGAGAACTTGACTCTACACCGAACGCTGGATCAAACCCTCAGTGAACTGGGCAGCATATAAATCTCTGGGGGAAGCACCCCAACTCTGAAGGTCAAGAAAACCCTATCAGTCATGTTTGGAATGGCAGCTTCTTTTCTGAACCCACCTCTCTTTCTTTCTTTAACATCATGCAAAGAGCAAATATGGGACCAAATCTTTTCTTCCCCACCTTTAAATATTAAGGCTTTAGGCACAAACTGAATGTAGGCTTTTGTTCTTACCCTGTCCCACATTGTGAAACTGGAAAAGTTGTCTACTTGTATCTTTTTTTATGTGGGCCCTCCCAAAGGTGCTAGGCACATTCAGTACTGGAAAAACACAATCCACGTGATGTGTTCTGTATACAATTGCTTATTGCCAGTAGTGTGGTTTTCATGGCAGTTTGCAGTGCAAAACACATTTGCCCTATGATGATGTGGGTGGATTCTCTGTGGTAGTATTTTTTCCTCGGTTTCATTAAGCAATGCCACAGAATCTTTTCTGCCCTAGATTCCTGGGCATGAATGTGAATAAGGGATATTTCCTTGCAAAAATGTAACAAAAGACAAAGTAGCCTGCACATTCCATAGGAAGTTCAAGGCTGGAAACACATTTCTATTAGTACAACTGGAAAAGGGAGAGTTCTCCCCGCCCCCCTGCCATCCTTGCATATGCCCTCAGTATCTCCTCCAGAGCAGATAGGGGACAGGGGCACAGTAAGGGGGAGACACAGGGCTAAACTGTTCTCTTGTGTGAATGGGCTTTCATTTGCATAGCACTGGATTCCACGGTGGGTGCCTTAATTATAAAGGCTACAACTGTTTTTCTAGTTTACAGCAATGTTCCAAATAATATCCTTTTGGTTCATCTCCTTGAAGATTTCAGATGCAGGGAAAAAACCCCCCACATTTTCCTATTGGTCTACTTCAGTGTGCTCTGATAGGAAAAGAGTTGCTTGTGTTTTTTACTTCTGTATTTATTAAATTCTGCAAGGTGGGGAAAAATTACCCAAATCAATCTGTATTAAATCTTTCTGGCTCCTGTAAGTGTATCCTGTAACATGATTTTTGATCTAATAATAATTTTTTAAAGTACATATTCCTTGATGTGGGCATTCTTAAATAAATACTAAAATGACATTCAAGGATGAAAGCGGCACTGCTAAACGGGATAGAAGAGAGGAGGGAAGAGAAGGATGTCTGATGTGAGGCTGCTGTTCAGCTGCTGAACAGAACATGAACAGGAGGGGAAGAGCATGTAAAGGAGACCCGTTCAGTAGCCAGTTTTTGAGTTATGGCTTCAGTGGCTAAAACCAGCACCTTGTACTGAATCTGGAAAAGATGTATTTAAAAAGTGTGCAGCTCCAGGCAGTAACTGGGAGCACCATTTTGTAGCAATTGGCATAATCACTGCTTTGCAAGAGCAGACCTAGAGAGAATGTGTGGAAATACTGAACAGTGTAATGAAAGAATGATATGCATTAGGGGCAATGCCTAATTTTACAAGATGTGACTGGCAACTCGAACACACAAATAGGCAATCTTTGTTTCTACTGCAATAAAAATTCTGGGCCACTCAGTTCAGCCTTTTAGAATCATGAACCTCATGTCTAAAACAGCTTGCACACCCAAATTTTAATTAGAATATTACCTCCTTTGTTTTAATGTGTCCCATCCATTTCTTCACAGTAGATAATCAGCAGTCCAGGACCACCATCAGAGAATCAGAAGTGTGCAATGGTGATTCATATCAAAATACTGAAAGGACCAGGCTCTAGTACAACGCACAAAATTAGAACCTTCATCTCTCAGCACAGGACACTGAGTGGGGGCAAGTGAGTAGACAAGTTCTACTTGAAAGCCAGGCTGACAACTTTCAGATTCACCCCAACGCTTTTCAGACTGCATTACTGATGCATGCTTTAGGGCTGTGCAGCACTTTGGATGGTGCAGAAATGAGAATGCAACACCTGTCTGAAACACCAAGTAGGTGTGTCTTTTCCTAGGAAAAGGAATGGCTGCTTATTGCAGACAGGTACTACTTTTACACTCTCGCAGACCCTAAAGTGGGACACAGCCCTAATGCACTTCTATACCGTATGCCAAGAGGAGAATCCTAAATAGGATCCACAGGCCTGAGTCTAAAACCAATTGTAGGAAGATAAACATTAACAAGGCCATAAAGTTCACAAAAACTACAAAACCAGAAGAAGCACATACATTTCCTGAGATACAATCTGAGCTTACATTTCACTTTAGAACCAAGATGATGTTTATCCTGCCTGTACATGGAGCAGGCTTCAAGTGGTAAGAATTAAAACAGTCTGTTTCAAAGTAGCCAGCTTATTTACAGTTTCAATTAATTTCATTTTTCTGTAGTGGTATTTAACTTTCAAATATGTATAGGCTCACTCTTAAAATATGTGCTTTTGATAATTTTATTTAGACAAATTTTCATTATTAAAGGCAAATCACTATCCGGGGAATGCGGTGGTCCTTCCAAGAGATGAAGCTGGGAATCGTTAGAATTCACTGTCTTTTACAAGTAATATTTCATAGGAAGTGTTTACATAATGGGACTGCATACGAAGAGGCTGGAGAAGATGGTACAGCCATCAGGTTGGGGTGTTTAGAAATGAGGGAAATACGCTGGATGAATGTTTTGGCTGCTGTAATTATTCCCTTAGCATGTACTTGTAGTACTCTTCTACACTGCAGCAATCAAGTTAGAAAACAGGTACGCAGAGTAACTCTCACCCCAAGCATTTAATTGTCCTTCTCATGCTGCTTTCAGCAACAGAATCCCGCACAAAACTTAAGTGTTTTGTATTTGTCTGATCGTGTTTATAATTAGTTAAGGACTAATGTGTCCTTTTAAGTTCTTAAATATGCAATAATATAGTAGAAATAACTGATGCAGATCTTAAACAGCTAACTGCCAGTTACCTGAAGTCAAGGAACAGATACCATGTATCTCTTTAAAAGCAAAAGCTTGACCAAGAATAAGAAGTTACAAGAAAACAGCAATTCTGCCAAATGAATTCCAGCTCAAAACAACTGTCTGTGCTTATTCCGGAAACAAAAAAAGATTCTGTAAGAAGAAATGTTGAGGGAAAAGATGCTCATTTAGTCCAGCTGACTTTGGGGATGTCATAATGCTCTGTCAAAGTATCCAAATGTCTATTAAAATCCTAGGAAAGAAAAGAATATAAATTGGAAGCAACAACTCATTACTTTACAAATACAGAGTACAAATATCCTTTCAGAGTTCAGACTCAGCAGAGATCCATTTAAACAAAAAATTGTACCTAAAATCCCCCTGATTTCAATGGATCTAGTTTGTATGTATTCAGCCTAAATTAATTCAAAATAAGAAACTTTAAACACATTAGACACAATTTTCCTAACAGCCTAATCACAAGGATGTACATTTGGAAGGAAGAGGGAGAAAAGAGCCCAGAAAATAATGCGATGCTAAGTGTAGACTGGGACTGGGAGAGATCCACAACACCCAATAGGCATGGAAATTACTACTACTACTACTACTACTACTACTATTATTATTATTATTATTATTATTAATTTGACTTGTCCCTGCCCATCTCCCCACAACGGGGGACTCTGGGCAGCTTAC